TAGATTCCGTTTGAAGACTCTCCGAGAAAAAAGCGAGCACGGGCGACTGCTAGTTTTCAGTGCAAGATGACAGTTTCGTGGACAACGGAAGTTCAAAGGTTAGTGTTCAGGGTTCTGCGTTTGGCTTAGGATTTAAGGTTTTCGGGGGAGGGCTACTGGGCAGAAGTACGCTTGACGCCTAGTGCATTGTAGCGGCCTCCTTGCGCAGTGGATTTCGCGCCCTCGCACAAGAGGATCTTGCCAGATTCGGTCTGGCCCGGTCTTTGAGCGTCTTGGCCTTCCCACTGCGATGCTCCGCATCCTTCTGGCTTCAATGGCGAGCATCATCGTCTTTTGGTCTTTCGCGGTCGCTGCACTCCCGGGTGACTCGATGCTTCACCTGCGCGTGCTTGCAGCATGCATCCGATGCACTGGGAGTGCCGTTGTTGACCCGCTTGAAGATGCTGATCCTGAGGCACCAGCACTTTGCTTTCCGCCGCGACTCTTCTTAGTCCACTGTTGTGGGCGGTGAAGAGCGTACTACCTTGGCGGACACGTGGGCATTGGCCATCCGACACTCGTTTGTTTCTTGACTTGCTCAAGACAAGGTGCGCATGCTTTATGTGACCGCCGCCACACAGACAGTGCCTGCACTTCTGTTGCACCTCCTTCGGACCCTGTGTGTTTCAGTCCCTTCCTGTGGACAGCCACTGAGATGCGGGAGCTATGCGAGCCGGTCTACGCCGCCGTGGGCTGGACTCACGAGAGCCCTCCAGTGCTCTTTCACGAGGCCTGCTCCTGGCTCACGACCCCTGAGTTCTGTTTTGAGTGAGCTCTTCTTCGGTTTGCGGTCCAGACTCACTGCTTATCTCTTGCATGAGGTTTGTTCCTGGCTCACGTGCCCCGAGTTCAGCACGCGCTGCTCAGCATGACGCCGATTACGCCGTGAGGTGAGGGTGTGCTGCGAGGGCGCTTCCAGGACTTGTTGGCATCCTGGCGGCGTTGTCATCACAATCGCCGCTTCACAGGCCATGTGGGTCCATGGTGTCTCGGGAAAACAGACGCCATGCTGCCGTGGGAAAAAACGGACGGAACTGTTGCCTGTTTCATCTCAACTGAGCTGTGTTGTGGTCGAGGGCTTCTTTCATGGTGTGTTCATATGTAATCCTACACCAAACAAACTGCCTCCACAAAACTTGAAGCCCTATCTGCGGAAGCAAAATTTGGAAACTAATCCACAAAATCCACCGTGGAACTGCCGAAGCAATTTAGATATTGATGTGCGCGGAAGCTAAAGCCTCATGCGTGGAAGGGTCCCTGGGAAGGGTTCCTTACTGATCTTATTGCACCCCACACAAACAAGAACAGAGACCACAGCTCAACTGTTCCGCGAGTCAATTCCTGTTTGAATCTCCGCTGGACACCGGGCTCAGGTCACCATCACCTTGCGGCACACGCATTGCGTTGTTGGGCAGTGTACGCGGTCAGCAGGCATGCACATGTTGCTGGGCCGACTGCCAAGCATTAGGAACTTGGCAGACTTTGCAGGCTCTTCTTGTGGCAGACGTGGCCCAGCTTCTTGTGTCCTGCCGCGGAGAGGCCGTGAGGACCTGTCTTGAGATGGGTTTGACAGTGACAGGCAAACCCCTCACTGTGCTTGCCAGGCACCTGTTGCGCGCCTTTGTTGTCTCGGTACGGTGCTGGTCTCGGTTCATTGCATCGCAAAGCATTGCCGCACGGCTCACGTTTTGCAGATGCCGTGTCGCAGAGTTTCCAGGCAGCCCCCCTTTACTTTGACTGGGCACCCCATGGGCAGGGACCTGAATCTTCCCAAAGCTTTCGGAGAGTGCGGAGTCTTAAAGAGCTCTCAGAGAGGCCTGAACTTGTGCTGGCATGCAATGAGAACAAGCTGGTCTGGAGCCACAGTACGGCAGAGGGCAGTAAGGGCAATGCGTCGTTGGCTGGTGAGCTGCTGGCAGTATTCAATGCTCCTAATCTGATTGCGAGGCCCGGATCCGGGCCGATGTCTTGAACGAAGTGGAAGACGCCGTGCAGACTCTACCTTGCTGTGAGCCAGCAGAGGTGCCCAAATTGGAGAAGTAGTTTGAAGCAGCAGTCCGCAGCTACTGTGTCGGACACGTTCTACTGAGAGGGTGCTGTTCTGGCAGCTCCTGCATCCGATTGATGTTGAGTTCAGGGTGCTTGCATCTGCAGCATGTTCTCGCCGAAGACGTTGAGCCACCTTGTATATACGATGTCGACAAGATAAGCACCTCCAAATACATCTGGAGCCACACCTGAAGCATAGACAGCATAGGCCATAGGCGTTGTAGTTGTCATGTCGCAAGCCGGAACGAGCGGCCTTTCGCCCGCCAACACCTAACGAACAGACATTGAATCGAGGCAACGCTCACCGGGACTCGTTGCCATGGAAACTAGCGACATGGGGTGGTGGGATGATCGCCGCTGACGACAATGATATCGAACAGGCGTGGAGATGCAGCAACCGCCCCAAGAAGCTGTATCAGGTGCAATTATAAGGAGGCTTTGTTGCATGAGCTATGAAGGTCCAACAGGAGGCTGAGCGCCACCGCAGGGCGGCAGAGCAGGCTTGCGCCGTAATGGAATGATGAGGGCCACGGAGGGATAGAGGGAACGTCAACCCAGGCACTGCGCCGCATCGAAGAGCAAGAGAAGGCGTCTCCGGTATTCTTGTTTTGTGCGGGTGGAGCTGCACCAGCTGTCACGATTCTGCACTCGAGGAGTTGGGCCAGCTCGAAGATCACGTCGCAGGCTTGTTGAAGAGCGTTGGGAGACGGTACAAAGAGCGACTTTGATTTTCCAGGTCTCGAGGAGCAGCTCGCGGCCTCACAGAGCTCTGCTCAGCGCCAGGCAGCAGAGCTGCGCGAGGCCCAAGCCCAGGCTTGGCGCGTGGGGGCTCTGGCACTGACATCGGGGATGCCACTGTCGCCACTGCAGTCACCCGCGCACATGCTAGCTGCACATGCGTGATATGCCTGTGCGTGCAGGTAGGGGCTTTGGAGCGCGAGCTTCGCGAATTGCGAGAGACGCGGGAAGAGCCCGAGAACTCCGGGAGCCGCTTGTCCAAAAGTTTCGGGTTCCGAGGAGAGCTGGAGAGCAGTAGCTCCCGGTTTTTCTTTGCCGTGGCGTGGGCGTCGGCACGTCGTGGCCCTCATCATCCGCGCTCGTTGGCGCCGTTTTGCGTCGCTCATACTCTTGTAGCACCGACGAGCGCGTGCACCGAGGTCTCGTGGTTCCGTGCTGTTAGTCGGCTCGTACTGTGTAGACGTGACGAGAGACCAGCTGCCGTTCGGGAACAGCGCACAGGAAGAAAAACCGTGCGATTGAGCAAGGCAGAAATGGCCAAGGACAGGCGTGACTTTCCAAGGGCATTCTCGGAGTATCCATGTTGTTCATCTGCTGAAGGAGGACACAGCAGGATACCGAGCAGCTGAAGCCATGGAAGCCATAAAGCGAGAGCACGACGAGGTGTTCGGGAACATGCGGCTGCAGAAAGTCGATTTTTCCAGGGTGCAAGATCGACACCGTGCCCGGCTTTGACCCAGAAATTGTCAGGCGATGAAGGCAAAACAAGGCGAATTGGACAAGAACCTGCGAAGCCTGACTTCGCTACAGGCCATCGGGATTGTGGTCACGTCCGCCGCAACTTGCCGCAGCCTACTAGTGCTGTCTTCTGCATCTTCAGGAGCAGCACATGCAGTTGCAGCAGTACTTTGGCTGTATTGAGTGCCTGGCCACTAGCACCTGTTTGTCTACTCTGAGCGCGATGCGTTCAGCGCAAGATCGGAAGCAGCTCAGGTACTGTGAAGAGCTTCGAGCAGCCTCTCACGAGATCCAAGGCGCCAGCACGTAGGAGAAGAACTAGTGCAAGAGAACACATGGGTAGTTGTCAAAATTATGGTCCCTTCTGGGGTACCCTAAATATTAGGTGCCGTATTATAATGAGGACCCCAAAAGGGACCATAATTTTGACAACCACCCTCATGGCATATCCCACCTCTGGCAGGATACCTTGAAACCGCCGAGTCCGAGAACATCAAGCTCCATGGGGAAATCGAAGAACTGCGTGAGGTAATGGAAGCACATCACTTGCAAAAGGCCAGTCGCCGGCCGTGATGTGTGCTAGTCCTGGGCACTGCTTGCTGTCGCCAAGCAGGCTCTCAAGACAGTTTGCGAGAAGAGGGGATCGTTGCAGCTGGCCATCTTCGCTGAGAGCAGTCTGTCCGATTATGCAACGTCGGACAGAAAACGGGAGTGAATCATTCCCGCTGAGGCGACAGTTTAGCCCACGAGCTCCAGATGGAAGAACCCCAGGAGAATCAGCAGCAGGTCCGTCTTGAACATGCGAAGATCTCAACCCGGCCGAAAGATGTCGCCCGAGCATGTAGGAAGGAGAAGCCCCGATGCAAAAGACGAGAAGCGTAAGCATCGCCGAGGAGGTCTCCCCACAAGAGGGCACACTCGCTCAGTCTTCCTGCAGTGCTGAAAAGGAGGAGGCCCCGAAGCCGCGGAGGGAGGCAACGGCCCGCAGTGCCCGCAGAAGAAGCAGCCAGCTTGGCTGCAAAAGGCTGCGATGCGTCGCAGACGAAGTAAGCAGCAGATCTCGTCCGGGCCAAGTTTGGCATCTTAGGCAGCGTGGGAGCGAGCAAGCTCGCTGCACTCCAAGAGGAATACGAAGAAAAGTTTGAAAGCCAGACTCCTGCCTGCATGACCGAGAGAGGCAACAGCTGACGTTGGCGATGTAGGCACCACAGAGAAGGACTGTGGAACTCAGGAGCCAGCAGCTGCAGGTGGCGTTGCAGAATAAAGAGCGCATAGAGAAAGAGAAGCAAGAGGCAGGCAAGAGGAAATGCTTCCGGCACACACTCTCAAAGTACGTCTCCGCCCCTTTTGGCAGGCCATCGACTCTCTGCAGAAGCAGATCGAGGAGCTCAAAGGCCAGGTTGTCCCTTTTGTAACCAATGTGGCACTAAGCGACGCTTCGCGACGTAATGCAGGCAAGGTTGGAGATGGTGGAGGAGATGCTCTGGCAGGTCTCTTTAAGATGATGTCTCGCATCAAGGACGCCACCTCAACAAATGCAGATCTTGTGGATGGAAGTGATGGACGAAAGTGCAAATGTGTCTTCGTGTCAGGACCTCACGACTGAGGCCTCTGATGCGGTGCTCCTGGGCTTTGCGCCTCCCGAGGCGGCCGTGGCCTTCCAGGCCGCTCGCCAGGCGGACCCGTCCGCGGAGGCCCAGCGTGCCGAGCAGGCGCTGAGGCCGGCGTGGGTCGGCCGGGTGAGTCGTGAGGAAGGGGGAGTTGCGGTCTCTTTCAGCAGCTGCAGGTTCCGGTCGAAGTCCGCAGCCAGCAACCTGGATGCATCTTTGTTATGTAGTGAATGGTGGCATGCTCTTCCCCAAGTGCCTATAGACAGTCTCGAACAATAAAATGGTCCAATATGGTCCAATGCTCGGCTGAGGTGACGTCAGGAGCCGCCTGCAGGGAAGGCGCCAGAGAAAAGCAGCTGGCGAAGCTGCACCGTGAGAGATACCTAGCATTAATATAGTCCATTTAGGTTGCATAGGTTCCAGCTCCAAAGGAGCGTCGACCAAAGGCACCCGAGCTAATGTGATCTTGGCCGCCAGCCAAGCCTCTTTTAAGAATTTCTATTCTGTGAGATGCACCTACTCTTCAAAACAGATGGCATCGCAGGGTTCTGCACGTGACTGACTTGCACAGAGCACGAAGAACGTCTAGACCATGTGACAGGCGCAGGTCAAGAGCTTGGACTCTCTACCCGGAACCGTCATTCAAGGGTGCGCACCTGGGGTCAGCGCTTTGCTTCGAAAGTTAGAACGGAATTTCTTCAGCGAGGCGGATCTCCTTTCGAGCGCCCCAGTGGCAGAAGCCTTGGGGAGTCGAGTATCCGATCCTCCCATGGATTGATGGAAGTTCCTTAAGGCTTCCGTGGCCAGATGCGACCGAAGGGCGCTGGCTAGTTCCCACCGATGCTCCGCAGACGGGCCGGGCCAGGCCCCCGATCAATTATCGTGGGGGTTCCTTATTATAATATTATAGTATAATGGGCCCCAAAACCCTATTCTAATTATAGCTTCAGCTGGTTCTCCGGCGACACAGAATGTCACAGATCCAGGTCTCCCTGGCGCTTGTCGACCCAGCCACTGGGCGGTCTGACACCGTTTGTGAGCCTCCTGGCTGTACGAGCATGTCTCTTTCAATGTCAGATCAAGAGAAGATTGAAGGCCCTGGTAGGCGATAAGGCCCAATGAGGCTAAGATCTGAGTTGTGGCTGAGGAGTCTGGCTCCAGAGGCCCACTTCACGGCAACACCCAGTGGCTGGGTCGCTTGGTTTGGGCCTGAGGCATGTAGTCGTGGAGGCGAAAATGGCTGTTACAAACTGTAGTTGCGAAGTAATGAGGTGTGGCCTCCATGACAACCGGGGACACGGTGGTGTGTTTGCCCGACGAGTGCTTCCATCCATGGGTGGGCGCGCATTTATCAGATTCAGACACACAGACTTGCAAGCCAAGCTGCGCAGGCCCTCCGATCAGCGTATTCGCGCATGCAAATCGCGTTGAGGCTTCGTGCTCCGATTGCAAAACTATTTCTTGGCTTGTCTTCGCTTGGCAGGGCATGAGCTGGGGCGGCGACCGCTTGGCGCTGTTGATACACGCTCCCAACTGCCTGGTCTGGGCGGTCCGCCACTCAGAAATCTGCAGATTTGCATGCCAGATTCGCCTGGAAGAGCTTGCTTATAATCCTCGTAGGTATGGGATCCAGTGGAAGCAGCGAAGACAGGAAACGGCTCGTAGCTCATCAGGTTGCTTGGTGTCGGATGGGTCGGAAGGCAGAGCTCTAAGGCTTGTACGTGGCTCCACAGGGCTTCATCCCCGGTCGCTCCTTCTCTGGACGGGCCTGGAGCACAGACAATGTACGGAGTTCGCACGTGACATGGCTCTCAGACGCCAGGTTCTGCCCTTCTTCGATCAGTTTGAGCGACGGGTGGACTACTGGAACCCAGGACCGAAGTGCAAGGTTTCCTTGCTGGCGGAAGTGAGTCCCAGCAGTAGCTCGTAGGACATGATGCCTTGGTTTATGCAGACTTCAACGCCGAAGCCGCTCGCCAGTGACATGAATCACTTGCTTGACCTGCGCTTGGGCAATCCTAAGAAGGTCTGGGTGCAGCCATTTCCACGGCTGCAGCCGCAGAGAGTTCCATGTGCGGACTGCTGCGATTGGTGGAATACGTTGATGCTTATAAGTTAGAATGTCCTTGAGGCCGCCCGAACCACATGCACAGGAAGAAGTGCATCCATTGCAGTCCCTAGCCGGACCGATCTTATTCTGCGCTGTGGCATCCCCGAGTTGTCTAATTGCTTTACTAGTCACAGGAGCCCAGCAGCTGTCTCTGGCGCCGGCGCGTCGGAGGACCATCCGCTTGCTCACGCCTAATGCCGGCAGATGCCGGCAGCTTGTACGTTTAGGGCTAGGGCTGCCGCGATTTGTTGAACCTACTGATTCGCAGCATGGGGACGAGTCTCTCTCTCTCGCTCCCTCTGCTTCCCCCTCGACTGCTGGTGCTGCTTGTTGCCGATAACCTACCTTCTCAGGCCTGAGGCTCAGAGAAACGGAGGTTGCGAAAGACTGCTTGCCCCCGTTGTGGAAGGATAGCCGCAGGCAGCTACGCCTGCTGGAGCCCCTCGTGACAGTCCGCAGCCTGTGCTGCTGTATCGCTTGATTGCCAGTTTTCAGCGCAATAAGCCGCTGGACATGCTGCACCAGTCACATAGGAGTGAGGCAGGCTCTCGTGCATGAGCAGATAAAAGGGCGCGTGATGGCGCGTGTGCTACTGGCCTTGGCCGGCGTTTTCGATGTGCAGCTCACGAAGGAGATGCATGTTGGCACTTCAAAAGAAGATGGCCTCAAATGGGTGCCTGCCAATTCAGCGTTTCGCGTCAAGTTCTTAGCATAAGCAGCTTCCCTAGGTCGCAGGCTTGCGCCGGCTTGGTGCACGCGGAGCCCGCAGAAACTGACACGAAGATAGATACGAGTTCTTACCTCGCTGACCGTCACTGGCGGCTGTCTCGAGGGCCTTCCGTGACTCGTTTTCACGAATCGTCATTGGAAGGCCCCATTTCATTTCAGGTTCGCTTGTCCGCTGCCTGGTTCGGAGGGATGCAAGCAGGGCACAGCCAGCTCCCTGGGTGGGCAGCGCCTTGTCTGCCATCGCCATAACCCTGAACTTAGTTTGGATAAAACTGCGCACTGGAACTCAGTGCGGCACCATATGGACCACCAGAATCCAGAATCTGCTTGTTCTTGTTCTTGTCTCCGGGCTCCAACGTTTGTGCAGCCATTGACCACACAAGGCCCACATGGCATTGATATCGCCACGCGGGTACGATCCCGTTCCCGAAGGGTCTTTCTGCTCAGAGGCACCGGCCGTGATGCTGCGGAGCTTCCTTCGTAGCGAGGAGCGAAGAGTTGATTCTGCAGGACCACCTTCTGGGCGGGGACGGGTCGCCGGGAAGATTGAAATATGTAGGCCACGGAAGAGGGGCGTCTTGGCCGGATTGACGATGCATCACTTGCAAACTGTTGCTGCTTCGATGCTGACCCAAGTACATACAAGGCCTTTGCGAAGGTGGACGATGTGAAGTTCGTGGGTGAGGGTAGAGGTGACTACGATGTCGTCCAAGAAGGTAGCTGGTGGCGAAGGCATGGCTCTGACATGCTCTGGCGGCTGCTTCAGGAACAGCTTGTTTATACGCCAAACCTGCTGAGGTGCTTGTGCTGGACTTGTTGCGTCTTCTTGCTGATCTCGCTGCTGATTGCAGCGATCATCGCATCGCGACAGTTTTACCAGCATGCCATGGACGCAGGACTGCCCCGCTACTCGCTTGAGATAGCATTGGCCGAAGATGATCGGAGCCACAGACCTTGCCACAGACGAGGGGTGCCGGGGCCAGTCGTCGGGCCAGTGGCAGTGGCGGGGTTTCGTGTGGACGGGGGGGCCGGGCCGGTCCAGCGGCAAGCGGGCCGGGATTCAACTCCAAAGGGGAACATAATGAAAAGTGTGCACCGACGGGGAGGCCGTTCGGTGTGGATTGCTCAGCCCTATAGTTAGCAAGCAAGACTTCTGCATCGCGGCTTGCATATCCTGTCACCGAAGAGCGTGAATTTCGATCTCAGGCTACAGTTGTTATACCAGCGACGGCAACCTACCACCTCCCAATGCACGCATGATCCAGACGTGGTCTGTGCCGCATCGCATTTGGTGTTGCGACAATGTGGGAGTCGCCTGCGAGACCAGCACTAGCTGCAGCCCCAGCTATTGCCATCGCTGTTTACTTTTCTACAGTACTGTCAAAACTCTCACGAGGTCTTACGACGACTCCCGTGCCGACTACTTGGATCATGGTGCCAGTTCCGGACTTCCATGAGGATTCTGGGCAGCATGCTGGTGTCGTCAGGTGTCAAAAGGCGAATTCACAAACGTTATGTTGCCACTGCAGTGTAGCCCCAAGTGTCTGAGCGGGTTTCAGCCTGATCGAACCTAAGGGTTTCTTGGCGCCGTGCCTGCCTCAGCCCACACATGGCATTGATCGGGAGCTGCTTCACTAATGTGGGTCTGTTGGCTGTTGGCCCTTTGCTGTCGCGACAGGCATGCACAAGCTGCGCAAGGCGGACCTCCGGTTGTGCCATTTGCTGCGTGGTGGCAGGAAAGTCGTTTGCGACAAAGGCGTCTGCAAGTCTCGCCTCCGCATCCCGAGTGACCCTCTCTCCACATTTGGAGCAGTTTAGGCGATGCAATTCCATTGCCACGTGGGGATTCCAGACGCTTGGTCGTGCCATGGCTCGTCTCGTGTTGGGACCGGAGGATGCAGCGAGAGTTTCTGCTTTGGGTAGGCCATAGCTTCATCTGTGCATCATCGTCATTCACCGTCGATGAGTGCAGATTTCGGGCCGGGATTACGGGGACAACTGTGGCCCAGGTCGACGCAGAAAGCTTTCTGTTGCGAGCGAGTGCAAATTGGTTGTCCAACTCCACAGCCTCCCCCAGTTCCTCCGGAACCAGACTGCGTGGCTGAGCGGCATTTGCTGCCGTGGGCCGTAGGGTTTGTCACTGGTAGCATAAAGTGTTGTAGATCGTCATCGGCGCAGATCCTCACGCATTGGTTCAGCATCCAGCTTCCGTGTTGGCTGCACTTCGGCTCGAGCTACGCTTCCACAGGAACAACTTGAGCATCCCCGAAACGAGCAGCGAGAAGTCAGTCCAAGATGTTGTTGTTGAAACGCGTCGTAAAGGCTGATGGCTAGAACGTACAGTACATGCGAGTTTGCAGAGTTGGTCCGCCGAATGGCACCTAGCATCGCTTGCCTCGCTTGTCTCGCTCTCCTCGTGGTGCATGTTTGCTCCACGTCCACGGAGTTCTCGAGCGAGGGTGCTCTGCTGCAGGGCTTGGAGGAGCCCAGTACTGAGCATGCCATACTTTCAGACAGTCTACAGTGGATGCGGACGTGTATTGCCAACAGTTGGTGGAAGGCTGCCAGAGCCATTGTGTCTCGCACTCACGCCCAGAAATCTCCAGATGCTGGATCATCCACGCTAGCCTCCCTGAGTTCGGAGGTTCGCGCATTAGTCAAAGGCGTAAAGCAGCAAGCGGACCAGTTTGCCGAGTACGCAGACGATACATTCCGCGGGCATAGACAGGGCTTAGATGACGTGCCATGCGCGTTGCAGTGGGCACAGAACTCCACAACAGTCTTTTTAGCTGTGAAGTACGCCAGTCGGTGGTCAGCTCCTGGGGCCATCGAGATCGCAGATGTGAGCGTCAACATCACTGATGCTGCTTTTGCCTTGTCTGGCTTCGGACATCACTCCAGTATCCGGAAGCGCTACTTTGTTGACTTGGCGCTTTATGCGGATGTGGTGCCAAGTCGGAGCACGTGGTCGGCCGCTTCGGTCGGCCGCGCCACCGCCACGATCCCGAAGGCGCAAGCCGGCAAGTGGAGCCGCCTGACCAAAGCCAAGGACAAGTCGAAGCACCAGATCACTAGCTGGCTCGACATGGAGGAGCGCTGGTCTGAGGAGCTCAAGAACCCTCAGCCTCGCCCAGAAGCAAAGACGGAGCCCAAGGCACTGGCGTAGATCCAACGCTCCAACGCATGTATGGCATGATCCCCAAAGTAGGCCAAAGGCCAAAGTGGCATGTCTTGTTGACAGAATTTCAGTGTTCAGCGGTCGGAAGTCAGGCGAAGGCGGAGACGACAACTCCTGCACCCGCGGGCCGCGAGAAGGGGCAGCGAGTCCACACACCAATGTACAAGAAAGTGCAACGGCAGCTGCATAAGCAGATGAAGCGAATGTCGAAGTTCTTCAGCAGAGGCCCGGAGTTGCCTGAAGAAAGGGCCCTCTTGGAGTCTTGTCTCGGCACTTCCCTGACCGTCAGGCCTGCCGTTCGTGGCGATTATCTTGGGCACCATTCTCGTAGGGCTCGCCTTTCGGAGCTACTTCGCTCCAGCCCCTTCGGCTGCATCGCTATCCCTCGTGCAGGGACTTGTCCACCTTCTAGCTTCGCTGCAGGCAGCTGAGGACGAGACGTCCGAGCCACAGCATGATGATGTCCCCAACATCGCAGAGGCAACGGCGTACAAGAACGAATGCTGCCCGCGATTATCAGATGGGTGCCGTGACAAAGGCTCTTGCATACACGCTGATGCAGGTGTTGGCGGCGGCTGCGTCCCCAAAGGAGAGCTGACCAGAGTGGGCGGAGCAAAATCGACAGTGACGGAAAGCTTTTCGCTGATTTCTTCCTGTGGTGCTGCGAGCCTTTTTGTTAAGCTAGCAGCTAGGTTGTGTCTTCCGGCAACAATCCTTTGACTTGGCCTCTTGGCAAACAAGCTTGGTGCCGACCTGAGCTTCCCACGGGCTTGCTGTGCCTTAGCCTTGCTTGCTGCGACTTTTTTTCAGACGGGCCTTCCGGTCTTCCAGGTGCTGCGAGCACCATCAGACTGGCTGCGTCAAGGAGACTGCTTCCATGCCAGTCGCAGATCTGGTCATGCCGCCGCATCTTGTGGTAGTTTCTGTAGATTGATATGTCATGTGCCAATCTGGTTCGTTTCTGCCCGTTCCTTCAGTTTCTGTGGTCTGCCTGGCTGATTGCAAGAAGGACAGCGGTTTCCACTGCATCCTGGCGACGGAATCGAGAATCGAAAGATGACGGTGTTCCTGAGAGCTTGCGTCGAAATACATGCTGCCAATGCAAACAGGCATCCTTGACTCATAGACGGTGTTGCCGGGCCTGTCCATTCAAATGTACCAAGTCGAGGATGCCGGTACATAATTTCTTTCTGCGTTTGTGATCGTTTGTGCTCCTGGCTTCCGTTTCTTGCCGAGGCAACGAAGGCGATGCAAGTGCCTGGGCACAGGACAGAAGGAAATGCCCTCAGCCAGTGGGACGATGTGGAGCATGTTGGATCGCAAGGACAAGAGAGCATATTGCTGCACGGCCGCCGGCCTGGGCTGCACTACTCAGATGCCCCTGGAAGGGCAGATGTTCGACTGCACTGAAGGCGCGTGTCCTGGAGTAGCGCAGCGATATAGAACCGGGTGTGCGTCGTGGTTAGGTTATGCATCGCATAAGCTGTGATTCGGTTCTGTATCGTCGTAGGCAAGCTCTACTTTATTTCTGTCCGAAGGCTATGCCAATTGGCCCGAGTGGCCGGCCAACAAGCAGTCTTGGTGCTGCGCGAAGCTGAGCTGGGATCTGGAGACTGTCGTTCTGCACGTTGTAAGCACAGCTTGCATGTCCTGGCTCATGCTGCGCGGCAGGCGAGCATCACTCACGCGCATGCCCCTCAGAGGACAAGCAGTATGACTGCCTCTCGGCTTTGGGCACTTCCGGTCGGGAAGACTCGGGCCGGGCACGTGGCGGGGCGGGGCGCGTGTTCGCTTTGAGCCCGATGACTTAGGTAGCACATCCGAGAGCTCGTGGATCAGCGAGCAGAGAGAGTGGTTCTTTGCAAGCACGTCTCAGAGTATTTTTTGCTGCACCACGGGCCAGGCAGCAGTGGTTGACTTGTTTTTGGTTTGTCGTTCTAGTGTCCGATTGAGCCCAACAAGGCGCATGCTGATCAATATAAGTGGGCTAATCTGCGCCATTAGGCAGAGCAGCAGCAGGCGATTTTCAGGCCTGGCAGGCTGTGTCGCTAGTCTTAGTTCCCAACGAGAAGTGGCAGTCCCGTGCATGGAATCAGATCTCAGGTGCTGTCTTCACCATGGTAAGGCTTGTGCTCAGTGAGATGCAAGACATATGCTGCGGACAAGTGCTCCAAACGGACCCAACGTGCCAAGCACATGAGGGCAACCAATGCACCAACGACTCTTCATGATAGAAGCCGTGAGGCTGAGATTCGTGAGGCCACGGTTTTAATAAGTTTTGAATTGTTCTTCCTGTGCAAGCATTCAGCGGTCTCTGTGCAAGCTAACTCTTGGCAGTGGAGTCGCAGGGGTCTCAGCTCGATCAGATTCAAACCGAAGTGTTTGTCAGAGGGTTTCGAATCCAAAGCAGGTTCAGGCCACGGTGCAGGAAAGCCGAGAGAAATAATTAGAGATCAAGGCAAGTCCCTGTTAGATAGAGGGGATCTTTCCTTCATGTTGGAGCTGCAGGCTTTCAACGCACCATGTACTTGGGGTGGAAAGTGCGAGGTTTTGCGCACGCTTTTTCTGCCGCGGGCGACAGGGCCCTGAAAATTCGGCCCTTTGCTTTTGCAAACGGAGTGAGTTTGGGATTTGTCTGCATGGCGAAGGCAGCCGAGGGGCCAGCTTGAATCCCAAAGGGCCGAAAGCTGAGATGCCCCGCCAGGCAGGTCGGGCTGGCCCAGGGCCAGACGTACAAACGTACAGAAACTTCAACCCGAGTTTCTGCCCGGCCGAAGGCCAGGCAGCACCAGGAGACCAGCAAGCTGGCAACTGGTGACAGCGTAAAGGTTGCAAGATGATTGCCGGAAGACCTGCTCCCCCCTTTCGCTTTGCAGGCTTCTGCTAACTTGCATGGCCATCTGCGGCAATTTTCGTGCAGAAAGCGGCAGTAGTCTCGTGAGCTTGACAACCGCTGCCCACCACGTGCTCACAACACTGGCAAACACAACAAGTCGTCGACTCTGTACGGCTTCTATACGGCCTTAATCTGTTGGAGACCGTAGCCTAGGCTTTCTGAATCCGCGGCGAATGGCAGCCCAACGCTCATGGCTGCATTATTGGATGTGCTTGGCGTGCGACGGCAGGGCCTTGTCGCACGGCTCTCGGCGCAGCTGGCTTCCTGGATGTTGCGCGGTGGCGGTGGTCAGGTGATCCTGTGCCCGGTCTGATTTAAGGGAAGTGGATAGCCAGTGCCGCCTGCCGCCTGCCGCGGCCCACCGAGGCAAGGGAGCCTTGCCGGGGCTGTCGTCCTGATTCCCATCTACCCACCGTGCCTTGTCTGACCAGGGACCTAATTCTCGGATGGAGGATGTGCCCCTGCCAAGGAAGAAGCCCTGGCTGCCATGCGGCGCTCCGCTCGAGCGCATGCCGGAGACCGCAAGCTGAACCATGAATGAAAGCGCACGGGCTTGTCGAGCATGGAGAATCACACGGAGTCCTTGCAGGAGGCCGCCTCGCGGGAGTTGGCGCGGCTGAGTTTGGTGGCGCTCTTGGCCACGTGGCGTGCGGGAGGCGTGGCTCAAAAAGGCTCAATCTCAAACTGTCGGAGTACCGAAGGATCCTGACATGTCCCGACAGGTGTCGTAGCCCCGGTAACCACAGAGCTTCTAGAGCCGCAGCGTGATCGCGAGAGCAGCAACCTCAGCAACGTCGTTGTTGCCTCCAGCAAGGCTCAGCAACGCCGAATTCGTCTGTCGATGACTTCTCCTCGGCCTGCTAAGGCCGGTTACTGGCACAGCCGGAGTGGAAGCGCTGCGAGATATCGGCAGCATTGCAACAATGGCAGCTTCTCGGCTTTTTTTCCCGGAGGATCCATTGAGGCTTGAGCCATAAACCTTCTTCTATGACAGTATTCAGGCCGGATTTCGTCCTGAGCTTCGGCCCTCTGGATGAGATCTTCCTCCTGACGGCCACAAACCGGAGGAGAAGTCCATGGGCCCTCCGAGTTCCCCACGTCCGCTTGAAGCTTCAGCGGGACGGCAGAGCTCCACCGACGTCGATCCCTTCAGTGGAGTTCAAGAACGACTCCAAGCTGGATCCTGCAGAGGTCGCTCTGTCCTTTAGTGGAGGTGAGGAGATCAGGTTTGGGAATCTGCTCTCTGCGGTCTCAGATCCTGCTGGCAACATGCCTTTCAGCAGCGAGGGTGCTGCTGGGATTCTGGGACTTTCCTAATTTGCCGGTTGGTTTTCTTTTTTTGCCCCTTCTTGAGAGAAGCAACCTCGCGGCCACAGACTTGCGTCACCCCCACACATCGGCTCAGGATCATCAGTCTTCTACGGATGGCCCAGGAGCGTTTTCCGAGCACCTCGCGCCCTCGAGAGCGGCCGTGGTGGGAGGACCAGGAGCAATGGCGAGGCCTTGCCGGGGCTTCGACCTGGCCACCCAAACGTTTGCCAAAGCTGCAGACGATGTGGGTTGCAGTCGACGCAGCTGATCCCAGCCGACAAGGCCGAACCGTTGACGGTCACATCTACTATTGGAACCGTGAAACCAACGAAACCTCCTGGACACGCCCTTGGGGTGGACGACGATCCGAGCAAGTCAGGACGAGGCTTCCCAGCCTGCTTAGCACCCGAGGCTCTCGTTTTGGTGCCAGACTGATGCAGAAGGCAGCCGGTGGGATGCTCGGCCGCCGCTCCAGTGGTCCTCAGCGCCAGAGAGATCAAATCAGTTTAGGTTTAGTGCTGGAGTATATGGGCACTCGCGGTCTAAAGCCGGCTCGCCAAGCAGTGATGCAGGAGCAGCCGTGAAAATTGGTTTCCGGAGCGACCGTTTCGCTGCATGTTTTCCGGAGGGAAAACTGTGGACATGATATTACATGTATTTTGGTCTTGCATGCTGAGTCGATCCTTCCCTGCATGGCTCCAGCACCGAACCCAGCTGTAGGCATGTCTTGAAGCCCCTCATCATGCCGCCCAAGGGCCCTTGCAGCCCTTGATCTCCGTAAATGGCTCCGCAGCCTGCGAGATGCCTGCTTAGGCCGGTTGCGGCCTTCTGATTCAAGGGGAAAAAAGCTTAGCTTCAAATGGGACTCCGATGTACATCATGTAAAACGCGGCAGGGCCTCGCCTAGGCCGGGGTTCGGATTGTGGAGGAGCCTTTTACTTTTACATCATTTTACATCTATCGGGCGAAGGACAAAGCTGTGGACTGGAGTACGAGGGCTCGGCAGGGTCGACATGATGTGGGGTATGAGAACTGGCGGACGTCTTGGCTTAATTCCTATCGTGCTGGTCAGAGGCACGCCCAAGGCCCAAAGCCTGACTGTTAGCTTGCTTTGTTTTTGAGGGAAACAGCCAAAGAGAGACCCAGAGAATCTCTTGCAACGGTCCCTTGCCCGGTATCTAAAACGAACGCCGAATTCTCGGCCACCTGCATGTGGCCTCACCCCACGGCAGCAGTTTGAAAAGGGGGCCGCATGTGGCGAAGACCCAGTCGAAGTGTTACTGCTTCTGTCTAATTGTGCTCGTCCGGATGGGCATCATTGCCTTGTGCCGATCGCATTGCAGCTAGCCTGAGCCACAACAACTTTCAGAGGCTGCGAGCTCGAACCGTGCTACTGCTGTTCTGCCTGGCTGGGGCTGATCGCGCCTCGGATGTCAGAAGGTGGTTGGTGCAAAGGGCAGAACATTATATTTGTTACTAGGGGTTGGGCTCGAGAGCCCAACGTGTGGGCATGCATGCGCTTGCAATCATTAATCATTGCTGGGGCTTGAGGTGATTCCTCCTGGTCCTCAGCAGATGTTGAAGCCTTTGAGGATTCCGTCGTGCGCTTGCAGCTCTTGCAGCTGCAGTTCGATTTGGAGAAGGCACCCAATGACCAGGAGACAACACTGCACTGCTTGTCTGTGAGAGATGGTTGTGCCTCCTGTGTTGTTACAAAGAGATGGCCAGAGGACCCCAGCATCGTCGTGGTCCCTCCTCGGCCACACAAATTCCCAGCAGACGAGACCGCAAGGAAAAGTGTCGACGTTTCGCGCTCTGTTGCGTTTGAGTGAGCAGCTGGCAGGATGGAAGAGCAGGCATTCATTCCAACGAGCGCTTTCCTCCTTGGGGCTATGCTTCTAGCGGCTGGACACCGTATGCCAGGCCTGTCATCTGGGGAGGGGCCTCGTAAGAATGCTTCGCCGCTTCGCTCCAGGCATGCTGGCGACTTATTTTGCGGGGCAGTCGAGCTTTGCTCTCTACATGAAGCTTGTGCTCTCAGAAGAGACCGTCTCACGGGAGATGAACATGCGTGGGATGCCGGCGGCCTTCCTCGTGACCGCCATTCAACAGGTGGTGGCCTTCCTCTCCCTTGGTTTGGGGATGGCCCTCTTATACTTCTCGCCCTACCGCTACGTTCCCAGGGCTTTGAAAAGCTGGAGAGAGGCCCTTGCGGTTCTCCTCTTTTCAGCAGCTGTGGCCGTTAACATCGGCTTGAACAACTTCAGCATGTCCTTGCTGCCCGTTTCGCTCAACCTGGTCATTCGATCCTGTATTCCGCTGGTTACGCTTGTGCTGCAGCAGCTGGCGCAGCAATTGGGCCTTTTGACGGCGAGCCCGGTCGGACTGCTGGATGCCGCTCGAAACGACTTGTTTCAAGTCATGTGAGTGTGCTTTTGACTGAGGCATTGTGTTGATCCCAGTATCTGAGGTCAGCTTGATGGTCACAGGGGTCGCTTGTGCTGCCGTTAGCGCGCTGGCTGAGAGTGCAACTTCGGGCAATGGTCCGGCACCTCACTTGATGCTTGGATTCTTGACTGCAGAAATCCATGTCAGGTGGCAAGCGGAATGAATTGGATAATCCAGTGAGTCGGGTTGAGAGTATTGTCCAGTATTGTGGTTTGGACGGTTTGGGTTTGTAGCACAGGTTAAGGTGGGTGCAAGCTAGGTGTCTTGATGTGCTCCCTCGGCGACATTGCTGCGGCCATGACCTTGATCTTGATGGCGGCATTCGGGAGTACACTGGACCCACCACTGAATCCTTTGGACACGTGCCTGGTCTGAATCCAGGTGGCTTGCAAGATCCAACCGTCCCACTGTTGCCTGGCACTGCTAAGATGCCAAGGATCTTTTACATGGCGCTGCCTTGCGCCTTAACACTTTTACCAGCCTCTCTCTATGCATCTCACCCGGTCGATTGGCCCAACTTTGGCGTACTGACGGACTGGGAGGCAAGGTGGCCTAAGAGTACTGATGCTGTCGGCCTTGCGTGTTTCTCGTAGCCTGTTGTGGCTCCGCTTTGTTGTCCATCCCGTCGCAGGTCTACCAAAAAGTTCACGTCCTCAGTCCAGGCACCATCTTCCTCGTAATCGCATCAGGCATTGTTTCAGCCGGCTACAACTTCATTCAGTACACTGTGGTGCAATCACTCTCCGCAACTATGGCAGCCATAGAGCATTTCTTCTTTCATCCTCAGACGAAGCCACATTTGAGTTTCTCGTGACACTTCCGCAGCAGTTCTGCAACCAAGGCGAGCCATGCAGCGTTTGCGGGGAACTTCAACAAAGCCGCGACGATCTCACTTTCCATCTGCCTGGGTCTGGAGACCCTGCCTGGGGGCAAGTGGAAGTTTGTCATGCTTCTAGGAATAGCTGGGAACATCCTTGCCTTCACAGCATGGAGTTACCTTCAAGCAGTACGGAAGCAGAAGACAGAAGAGAAGACCCCGACCTGAGTGATGCCAAGCGTGCAAAAAAACAGTGCTAGTCACTAGTCCCATGACCATGCCTTTTTGCAGATTCACTGATGCTTTGGCGTTCACCTGGCAGAGTGCGTGTTGCCTCGCAGCTGACATTTCAAGCTGGCTCGGGCTTTGCCAAGCTCCCTTGCTCGTCCGGTGGTTGCAGCCATGGACAGGTGGGACACGTTTCAGCAAGCTCAAGGTGTACTGGTAGTACTGGTCCAGCAAGGCAGAAGCAATTAGTATAGGCCAAAGGCCTTCACACAGCTGGCATGGCGGATGGAAGCAGACGAAAAACTTGTGAGACAAGCCCTCAGCTCTGCCAACGAGATGTGCCGGTCAGGTATTCCGGGCTGGATGCAGAGCAGAAGGCCGTGCTTCTAGCATGGCATGACAAAGACCGTGTTCAAGAGAAGATGCTCACACTTCAAGCACCCGCAAAAGAAGTACACTCAGAGCTTTGAATCGTTGGGCTCGAACTTTGAGCACCTACGTATAAGGACACGTGAATGAAGAGTTAGCAGGTCCTCATGCTGTCCTGACTGAGCTTTCTGGCAGCGGTTCAATTTTTGCCATTGTGCTGCAGAGTGATGGTATCATGCAAGTCAACCTGGAGTCAAACAAGACCAAACACTTGATATAGTCGTTGCCTCCACATTTGTTGGCTTCGGGCTACCGAGTGCTGTAGGCAAGTGAAGCTGGCACGCACCCTGAACATGGACAGTTTCAATAGTCAACCAGCTTGAACCAGCAGCCAGCATTGCAAGTTTATCCAGAGGAGAAGACCAACATACCGACACGATTGGATGTTGGAGACTTCTGGAGTTTCTATAGTCAGACAAGCCCAGATGAAGGCGCAGCTCGATGCTCAGTCGCATGGGTAGGCACATATCTAAGGGGCATCGGACAGGTTAAGGCGTACGCCCGCGCCACTAAGGGTACATCCCCAATCCTGCCGCTGATTGAGTATGTGAACTAGGACCGCCACAAAATCAGGCTTACCCTTACTTATGATACAGCCTTAGAGTAATCATGAACAACCCCCATCTCGTCCATCGCATGCAGAGCGCAAAGCCCACAACCACATGACCTGCATGTCCTACATTCGTGCAGCACTTTCCGCAAACGGAACCGCCAAGAGAAGAGTCATCATGCAGATGCTATTAACGGGAAATCCATGATTTGTCTGTTGGTGTACTTTCTCGTTGAGGCTGAATCGCAGTCCGCCATAAACCAGGTACATTAAACAGGCAGGCTGCGAAGCCTCTCCGGAGAGTTTGGCAGGTTGCCTTGCTTGCCCTCCTGCGTGCCGCGGCGGAAGCTGAGCTTGACACGGAGGATGCCCGGGTGAAGTTGTGCCAGGCTCCCAGCTAGCCCAGTTTGCTTGCCCGTGAGGATCTGCTCGCAAGGCGAGATTAAGGCTTTCGAGGAACTCGGAACTCTGCAAAAACTATCATGTCCTCAGACGCCTCCGCTGGAAGGACTACTTACTTCTTTCGGTGGTCGTCAGTAGCAGCTTTCCTGTGGCTGCGATTCCCCTTGTCATTTCGCATTGGTGCTGCTCGCCTCGTGGCCATGGCGTGCCTGCGCAGTCGGCCCACGGCTTGTGGGGGAGGGGGCGAAGGGTGGGCCTTTTATGCTGGTGCATGCTGGGTGGTGGTGGCGGCGGAGCAGTCGAAGAAGTGGCGAGTTCCAAACCATCTAGGCCGAGACCTGGTCACATGTTCGTAGTGCGGAGCCGCAGAACTGAGGTGAGTTGCCGGACTTCAAACCCAGGGCCTGCTTCCAAGACATCCAGGGAAACAGCGTCAAAGGACCGTGGGATGGCCTAGGATGTGCTGGAATCCTCCATTCCATTCTGTTTTAACTTCCGTGGATACTTTTTTTGGGGACTTGGCTTTGCTGCGAAGCTGCAATGCCCGAGCATGCTTGAACAGCAGGATGGATGAGTGCCAGTGATCTTCATCTCTGGTTATCCTCGCAACCGCACCCAGTCGCAGGTGGGCAGACATGTGTGCGAAGACTGAAGCATTGCAAAGCCTAGCTGCTGGCAGGCTATAGGCTGGAGGATGTCTTATCAGCCATCCGGCTTCGTACTGGTTCTCTGGACATCTTCCCAGAGGCAGGAACGCAGTAAGCCAATCTAAGTCGGGGCATCAGAGCCGCCAGGACTTTATCCGAATGACGACCCCGAACTTCCGCTCTGGAGCTTACTTGAAGGACTCCCCAAAAATGCGCACCTCGAGCCAGTACGAGTATCACTTAACGTTTGAGCTTGCTTGACACACATGTGCAGGAGCTTGCGATTTCCCGCTCTTTCTTGCCATACCTCTCCTACGAGCGACCGCTCAAGTACGAGGTGGCATACCGCCTGAGCCAGTCCCCCGCCCAGCTTTACATCAAGCAGTGCAGAAAACCTTGCCCGCTTGTTGTTTTCAGTACGAGTATGAAAGTCGAAAGCTCAAACCCTATGGAATGCTGGATAGCGCGGTGTGGAGTGGAGTGTGGGTTTTCAGGGAGTCTGCAGTGTTTGAGTCGTTGGTTGGATTTTGTTGGCTCCAATGTTGGCTGGTAGAAGTTTTCTGGGCAGAGGGCTCTTCGTCAAGAACGGAAGTAGCGTGCTTGCTCCTCGGCGGAATCGTTGCCTGATGTTGTCCGAAACTCGGTGGAAGTCAGACAGCTCGAACTTACCAAAAGCGTACTGGCTCTGGACCACTCGTCAGGACCGACTGTAAGGTTGTCGCAGGGTTGTCCACTTGACATGTTTCCTCACACTCGAAGCCCACTGGCCGCTAGCCAAAGACGAACTCAATAGTGTGCCCTAAAATCCTCTGTAGGAACCCTTCGGTGGGGTCCAGACCCAAGGCTCTTTCTCTTGGAGCTGGACTTCATGAGCCGCTTGCGCTTCCATCAGAAGCGCTTGCGACAGGCCCTGCACCGCATGCTGCCCACTGGCTGTGTTACGGCTTAGGGAAATCGGAGAGCGGCTCCTGACCAGGCAACTTTCTTGGAGCCTAGCTCTTTAAGGTTGTCTGTTGCACTACGAGGCTTCAAGTGAGTGTCGAAAGGTAGGTCCAGCAGCTAAAAAAGAGGCCACTTGCTGTGATAGTCTGCCCAGAGCCTGGCTCCTTCGACTGCCATTTGTAGGATATCGGCTTAATGACTAGGGCTTGTCGCTTGAACGTCTCCATCATCTACCACTAGCTTCGATAGAAGTTGCATTGTTGAGGAAGCTTCGAAGGGGCCCTTTTTCGAACGAGCCCCAAGATGAATGTCAATCCTCTAGGCGTTGATTGATGTTTGCAGGTGGCAATCACCGGCGTGAACATCGTGAAGTTCCTAGACATGGAAGAGGGCTTTTGTGCAGGCGCTCGGGATGATCAACAAGCTGCAGTGGTGCATCCGTCACACAGCTGCTGCTGGCTCGATTCCGAGTCTGATCCCTGTGCCTGTGTATCCAACCAGCGTGTCACCGTGCGGGACGCGCTAGCTCTTCGCCCTGAGGCTTGTGAGTACCCAGCCAATGGATGGAAGAGCCGTAGTGTCCCTTCGTTAAGTCAGCACGGAATGTGCGAATCAGCGCACGATGCTTGCGACTGCGCTGTCTCGTGCAGCAGCGGGGTGGCCGGCCTTGCTGTCGCGAAGGAATGCATGATAACAAGAGGTTCGCACGTCGATGAAAAATACAATTGCTGCGATCGTCCCCCGTGCTTAGCCGGCAGACGGGCGGTGAGAGAGACAGCGAGAGCGAGAGAGCGCACAAACAAGAGAAGGCTGAGAAGAGCACGACTGGACCAGATACTGTTTGGTCATTCTCGGGTCCTGGACATGGTGGGCTTACTAAGATCTGCTGTCGTCTGCTATGTTCTGTGAGGCATGGGAGGCCTTTTATCGGCGATGGGCGTGCGCCACGTTTTGTCCAAGGGCGTCGCGGGCTACACTCGGCCGCTGGAACCCATGCTTTGCGATGCCTTGATGAAGCGCATCAACCCCACGGATGCTTGGATGGCAAAGAATCAGCGTTTTATTGACCCCTGAACGGAATCGAGTGGGTGCTAGCAGCTATAGCAAGTTGGAACTCCTTTTCAGTGCAAGGATGCGGCTTTCTTTCCTGCTGACCATCTAGGGCGACTGATCGACATGCCGCTTCCCTCGGCTACTCAATACTACACTTGGGCCGAGCGGATGGAGCGCAGTCCGCTGACCGACAGCTACATCTTCCGTTCTACCAGCCCAGCGCGCCTTTCCTTCGAGAGCCCCTTGCTTGAGCCAAGCCCCTCTTCACGGATCCGACCGGCTTCACCCAGAGCTATGTCACCCACGCGGCGCAGCAGTCCCTTCATGGAGCCCTTGAGCCCCATGAGCCCAGTGACACCATTGCCGGACTACCTCCAGCCGGACTCCCGACCGCCGCGGCACTTCGGGTCAAGAGATTGGGAGTCAAAAGACTGGAAAGCCCGATCGCCTTCCCCTGCTCGTCGACACTATCTCTCGGAGCTGTCCACCCAGGACCCCGGCTTGTCATCCTTCGAGAGAAGTCTTGCAGACACCTATGTCTCATCGCCTGCAGCTCGGAAGAAAATGGCCCCAGTCCCCGTCAATCAGCAAGCCGCGAAGGCCATGCTGGTGCCAGCTCAGGTGCACTATTCTCCACGCACTCCGCGTCCGATGTCTGCAGGCACCAGTGACCATGGCTTCATCGAGAAATCTTTCTACGACAAAGCATGAAGCAAGCTTCTCTCTCTCTCTTTCTTTGTGTGCTGTAGGCATTGCTGCTGCTGCATCCCCTGGCGCTTCTCCATCTTTGGGAAGTCCGTTGCCACGTCGTTCTTTGCACTTCCTGGACACGCATGCGTCTCGACTCAAAGATGCAGCAGCAGGCAATCCTTCCCTGCCCTTTGCTGCCTAAGGAGCAGCGGGCTGTGCAGCAGACACTTGCATGCAGAATGTCCAGTGCGTGACCGAACGACTCGCAGACTTCTGACAACGTTAGGATTCTGGTTTCCGTCTCGTGATTCCAGTTGACGGTTTTGCTTCAAGGACGCTGATGGTGATGACTCGGCAAGCCAAACTGGACTCCATGGTAGCACAGACAGCAATCATAAACAGTCTTGCGTGTCTTAATACTATGCCACCCGCAGTCAACCGCAGTGCTTCGTGATCCGCTCAGGTGGAGGATGCTAAGACACTTCTCCCGCCCACCTGCACAGTGGAAGAGATCTTCAACGAGCTGGACCAAGATGTCGGATGTATTTGGAAGTCCGGCCTTTCAAAGCCTCAATCTGTTCTCTTGCCTCGTGCAGTATGCATGTCCGAGACAAGACTTGTAGGACATGATGCGCAACGGCTACATCACGCTTCGGGACATCCGCCGGTTCATGGCAGGTGCTGGGAGAGGGAGAGCAGGAGCACAGAAATTTCGAGGGAACGTAGACACACTCTTGCATGTGTGCATGGACGGATGGATGGATGGATGGATGCAGATGTGTCTGCACCCAGCTTCGTCCGTGAAGCATCTGCATGCGTACTCGAATTCATGTGTTTGTGAGTATAGATACAGACAGGTATACAGATACACAGCGTGCACATGTATGTATTGCCTGTGCGTGTACTTTGACCCTTTGAGCCAGGCTTCGGCTTCACAGCCAAGTATGCCAGCTTCACCGGCCTCGTCAATGACCTCCATATGCGCCGCAAGGTCTTCCATCAGCATTCCGTGCGAGGCCGATGAGACTTTGAATCGCGAGCTTCCTGTCGCAGATTGAGTTGCCGCTCTTTCTGAACAGAGCTGAACGGCAGGTGCCAAGCCTCTGGAGTGGAGCGGCCTCAGTCGAGCTCTTACAGTGATGCAGGCTTTGTCCCAGAGCTTAGCCGACAGCTCCGAAAAGTCTCGTCAGGTGCCCTGCTGCCTCCGGAAAGCTTGGACCTGCGCGACACGACAATGCTCACGTTGCCCTTCACCGGCGAGGGGTGCAAGGCGGAGGGTTGTAGGATTCTGCCGTTCTGCCGGGTCCTCCGCGGGTACTCATTGGCTGGGAAGGCTGTAATGGCTTGCAACACCGATGCGGAGGCTGCCTCAGTGCTGTACTTGCGTCCCGACGAAGATTGGCACATGTAGTGAGCTCCGACCCCTCTGTGCTTGTGATTCTACCATAGTTCATATCTGGTTGTTTCGATGAGAATAAGTGCACAGCAAGACTTTTGAGCAATCGTGCACATCGTTTTCCTGATGGAAACTTCTTACGGCCTTACGAGTCTGTTTTTCGCCTACTCAACCCAAAGTCGTCGTAATGATTGCTCGCACAGAGTAGAGTCGGCGGACTGAGATGACTAGTGCTGAACAGCTTTTGTCTGCTAGGGTATAGTTTCCCGCGCATGGACCCTCAAGGTTGGAACAGTAGTAAAGATTCCCGGAGTCAGACCTGGCATCTGGTCTGATGAGCGATATGACTCGGTGTGTGCTGAGTTGCCTAGGCTGCGGAAATCTGTGGCTTGCCCGACATGCGGGACGCGAGCCCAGCGTGATGCTGATGCCGCCGGTTGCCCGATGGTGACCTGCTCCGTTTGCGGGACAGCCCGTACCATTCGAGAAGCAGCTTGTTCAGCCGTCGAACTTCAAGTCACGAAAGCTCGCGTAGCAGAGCTTGAGTTTAGTCTTGCCTTTAGCAAGGAGGCAGTCCAGGGCCAGAAACCAG